CCAGGCCCCACGCGGTCCCCCCTGACATACTCATCGGAATGAACGCCCTTGACCTGTTCTGACACGGCCGCCCATTCCGCTCCCCATCCGCGGCCCTTTCCCATGCTTCTCCCTGGCCCTGGGCCAAACACGGACTCCACAGGCCCTGGGGTCACCATTACTTTGTGTATGTTTACAATGTTTATAAGGAAAGAAGTTAGCACTTGATCCCAAGAATCTAAGGCAGTGGTTCCCAACCTGCTGGCCCTTTAAGTACAGCTCCTCATGCTGTGACCCAACCATGAAATTATTTTCGTTGCTACTTCATGACTGTCATGTTGCTGCTGTGATGAATCGTCATGTAAATATCTGATCTGCAGGATGGTCTTAGGCGACCCCTGTGAAAGGGTCGTTCGACCGCCAAAGGGGTCGCGACCCACAGGTTGGGAACCGCTGAATTCTAAGGCCTCGATTTTTGTATTCTTAACTTGTAATCCCTGGGGAAAATTAATTTCAGAGTGAATCCCACGTTGTACGGCAGTGCATTATTTATTTCACGTGAGAGAACAGTTTGGTGTGAAGAGAAAGTATTTTCAACCTTGGGAGAGACACAAAGAGCCGATCCCCAGGCCCCGACGGAGGCAAATCGGAGGCCACACGGAACCGTTCTGTTTGCTTACATTCTGCCCATTCCTGTAAACACTTATTTTTCTTCTAAGGGGAAAGAATGCATTCACCCAGCAAGCTGGGCAGCTTCCTATACTCGCTCGGAAGTGTCCCCAGCAATCCATACAAACTGTTTAAAGCTGCAGATCAAAGTCCTCGCATTCTCTTTACGATGAAAAGACAGGAAGCGGATTAATCTGGCTTTTAGGATGTTTATGTTACCAAAATGTGTCAGACAAGTACATGAGTTTCTAAAGCATAAGGATCATGCTAAAAGAAAAATATTTATGACTTGGCTCTCAAGGAAATGGCTTATTTCACTAAGTCGAGGGGGCTAAAAATCACATTAGAAAAATCTGTATTGAGAAATAAAAATTAAAAAAGAGAGAATTCCGTGTCCTTAATGACTTAAAATGACACTATAAAAATGAAGAATACATATTATCATTACCCTTGTACTATAATATTACTGTAATATTAAGGCCAATAAATGAAAAGGAAACAAAAATAAAAATACAATAAAATCATTCCCTTTTAGTTTTTGAAATAAGTGATTTTATTCTTCAAGATTGACTATTTTAAAAATGAAAGGGTAAGAACCACGTATGTGCTTTACCGTTAAGGATAGAAGAACTTTGTAAACATTCCTTCTTATTTGTAAACTACAGTAAGTGAGACAGTCTCCATAGCACTAGCACAACAGCTGGCATTACAGCGCGCGCTCAACAAATGTGACCTATTTTCATTATAAATTTTTAGAAAACCAATGCTTTCCAAGATGGAACAACAATACTGAGTGTTTTCATACACAGTCGGCTAAGTTTTGGCAAATGCATAGTGTCCTGTGTAATTACCACACAATCAGCCCCCAAACCCCCTCGGGCTTCTCCCTTTGCAGCCTCCTCCCGCCTGCCCCCTGCCCCACGGTAACCACTGGCTTGCCTTTATCACTCTGCCTCTGTAGCTTCGCTTTTCTGGAACAACATAGAAACAGAATCGTACAACAGCCTCTGGTCTGGCTCCCTTCACTTAGCCTAGTGTGAGATTCGTGTGTCTCAAATCGTTTGTTCTTTCTGCGGGCCGTGTCGTACCCCCTTTTGTGGATGCACCACAGTTGTTTGTCCATTCACTTCAGACTTTCCTTAACACAGCGCCCTTTCCCATCATTGCATTAAAGTCCCGTGGGACTGGAGTCGGTAAGTGGCATTTATCGAGCACCTGCTGTGTGTCACACAGTTTGCCAGGCACCAGCAGCCAGCAGCAAAAAACACAAAAGTCCCAGTCAGCTCAGATGTCACACAAAACAAATGTGCAAGAGACACCAGGCAGCTACACTTAGGTAACGCTGATGTCAGGGTCACGGCTATGCAGTCTTCCGAACCCAGAATTTGTATCCCGAGTGAAAAGGGACATTTTAAAAGCTGTACGTCAACATTACCTCCCGTATGTACTCCTCCTGCTCTTCTTTAAGAGTGAGTTCGATGAAGATTTGCTGCAGCTTCTCATTACAATAATTGATGATGAACTGCTCAAAGCTGTTGTCCTGCACGGAACACAATGAACCATGCATTAGCTCTCCCGCAACGGCGACCTCTAATCTCTCCATCCACGAGAAGCGTCACACACGGCCTCAGATTGACCTGGGGCCCAGCACACAGCCCCCGGGACGGAGGCCACACACCAAGGCACGCGAGCAACGGTCCACGGGGCAAGCGAATGAATGGAGGACACACAGCTAGGCAGGAGGTGAAGGATGAAGATGTTTAGTTGACAAAGAAGCACCCCCACACAGTAAAGACTATAAATAAACACATTTTCCCCTGAAGATTCCGAAGGAAAAACAAACAAACAGATTTATCATCAGTCACCCAAGTTTTCAACCTTCCATTCTCAGGTGTAACTCTGGAGCTCAAGAAGGTGTCCCTGTGTGTAAAGATGTGTGTGCCCTTGTACTGATCATTTCCTGTCCATCTGTCTCACTAAAGCAGTGGTTCTCAACCTCGGCTGCACATTAGAATCACCTGGGAATCTCTGTAAAATCCTGATTTCTGGGCCTCATCCACTGGAAATTCTGTGTCTTTGTGACTAATGATGAGACCCAGAAATCAGGATTTTACAAAGATTCCCAGGTGATTCTAATGTGCAGCCGAGGTTGAGAACCACTGCACTAGAGGGTACACTTCTAACTACACATCCCCTGTTCACAGTGTAGGCCCAGCACCTCGCACCTAGTAAGTACTCAATACGCATCTGATGAACTGCACATGCATCTGATGAGCCAATGAGTGAAGGGCATGCCTATAAAAAGACGGCTCACGGCAATCAGCACGTCAAAACCATCTCCTACTCAGAAACCATCTCTGCTCAGAAGGCTCGTAGTTACTACTCTCATGACCCTCCGCACTTTCTCCTTTACAGCAGACCTCCTGTGAAATCGGGTGGGTGGTCCACGCCAAAAGCATCTCTGAGCAACCCACCGGGAGGTCTAGCCTGGAGGCTGTGAATGGACACCCTTCACAGACCCACGTGGCCCAGGAAGAGGTAGTTCTGGTAATAAAACTCGTGAGTTTAGACTCTATCCCTCCTCTTTGCAGAGAGAGAGATGGTGGCATTGGGAGCAAAGGATGGGGGGACCCACCAGGATCAGCCTGACTCTTCTCCCCCTGGCGGGCCAGTCCCAGGGTAATGAGTGAGCTGAGAGGGTCTGCACGGAACAGAACTGATCGCCCCTCCCTGAGGATCCACGGCCTTCGAATCTCCCCATAAATACAAGCGAAGAAGTCATGGAGTGTTTGAAACCTGACCTTTCCAACTCGACTGTGGCCCCGCCTGGGACCTAAGTACAGAAAGGACATGTGCAAAGCCGCAGGCCGCTGACCGCGTTTCTCCCTGGAAGTCGGCGGAGGACGACTCACCACAGGGATGAGCCAGCTCATCAGAGGGACGTCTGACTCGGAACCACGGATGACACGGGTACACGGTCACGGCTGACCTTTTCATGTTAAATGTAGTCAAGGATAAAGTGGTTTTCTTAATCCGGAAGTTTATAAAGGTCACACCTTGATGCTCAATACTTTCAACCAATAGAGTCTTAGACACAAAGGCAGTCCCCAGGCCCCACCTTCACATAAAAACTGAAAACCATGTGCTCCCGTCCTCAGAGATCAACCATTTAGATTAGAAGCTGCAGTCCACTGGGTAGCGATGTGTTATTATTAATACTATTATTGCTGTGATAACCAGTATAAGGACATTACATATATGAGGAGGTCTGGTTTTCTTGGTTTGGTGAAACAGGTCCTTACAGGATGCTACTAGCACAAGCGAAAACCTTAGAAACAAAATCAGTATTTTAATGGTTTATATGAGCAGATCTTTATGTTTGTTTTTATGATTTTAGAAAACAAATCCGTGGGATAAATCCTTCCTAGTAACTGAGTAAGTCTGTGCCGGTGAGGCTATTGTTTTTTA